CATAGTAAAATAATTATTGATCTGTTTGAATTAGTCATTTACAATTAAATATGTAGACCCATGTCTATATTAAGAGAGTGATTATTTCCCCTACTGACTAAATAAAATGCCATTATGTCTAATTGTTTTTTTTTATACTGCTTAGAAAACAGTGTATTACGTTTGTTTTTGGTTGTGTTGTGTGTATATTTAGTGTGATAAATTTGTGTGTTGTTGGCCTAGATTGTGTTGTTTTTTCTTCAAAGTAGCGTAGCAATGATGTACAGCTAGTGTATATATACATGGCCAAGTCCCCAGAAGATGGTCTTAATGAAGAACATAATATAACTAAAACAAAAGCCAAGCAATACCAGCTTTGTCCAATATTCTACCTTCAGATGTGGACATGTTAAAAAAACCTGTAAGACTAAAAAACATGTTTTACTGTAACTTTTTCTCTGTGTTGGCATGTGAAGTTCTTAAATGCTGGTTTTTAGCAGAGTTGAATTGGTGTGTTAGCTCATGTATTAGTACTTAAAACATTACATCTTGATTTGTTAATGGAAAATAAACACTTGAATTGTCTAAATGGATTTAAAATGTAGTTGTTTAAATTGTTAGAACCCCCTTAAAATAAAATAATTACATAACATAATTTATAAAACTAATTTGTTGTTTTAATGCTGCTAATGTTTAAAATTTACAGATGGTTTAAGTCGACTAGTTACAATGTATAAAAACAGTTCTTTTGTTACTTTGAAGGGAGATTACCAAACATTGAGTTCTCTGCCTAGTTTTATTTTATTGCATCTTCCCTTAAATAAAGTAAATGGAAAAAAAAACTGATAAGAAAGAATTTAGTAGGAGAGAAAGATTATTTAATATTTTACTACTGTGGTAGATTTAAAAAAAAATTATAGTAATTATATCAATACAAAATTATTTCATCAAAAATACAGGCTAGTTTTTTTATGAAGCTTTTATTCAATCTAGGTTGTATTATGCTTCTGTAGTGTGGTGCAGCAGCTTTATAACTAAGCAGCGTCCTCTTCTATCATTACAAAAAGGGCTATAAAACTGGTTCCTGGCTTGTCTAGTAGTCTGGATTCTTTTATTACAACTAAAATACTTCCATTAAATAAAAAGATAATATATACTAAATCAATTTTTTTATTTTTATATAAAATATTCCACGAAACAGCCCCCTCTTATAAGACCTATTTTCTTTTAACATAAAATTAAATCGTCGTCTTAATATCTCATTTTGTATTATAACTATGTAACATTATTTCTTTATTTCACATTTTTAGTGCTATGTTACTGCTGTGTTTTTTTTTAAATGCTGTTATTGAATTGATGTTTTATTTGTTTAAACGGCCAATGTGAAAAAAGCCCTTCGTCCCTACAATTGTTACCGTTGTTTGAATGAATTTGAATATACGTGAATTGAAAATTTCTGTTTTTCACAAAAATATCACGCATTATTAAGAAATAAATAGTTAGCTAATTTAATTTTGGTCCAATTCCAAAAAAAAATTCATTTGTTTTTATTCTCATAGAATACAATTCCTCAAGCATGTTTATTGTAGGCCAAAATACCAATTTAAAAAAAAAATAAAAAAATAAGTTTCTGACATAGTTAAATAATATCTGAACTAGTGACCACCAAACAGATATTTACACCAACTTGTGAACATATACAAGCGTATTTAAAACAATATTTTGTCTAAAATTGTAGAAGCAATACAGCTAGGCTGCTTCCTTCTATGCATTAAATATTAGAAATGCAAGAAAGGAAATCTCACAATAAATAATATCTCCTAAAGAATCATATGGATTAATTAAAAATTATAAAAACACATCCAGTAGAAAGGCCATTATTAAATGAAACCAATAATTTCAATAATAAATCTTATACACAGGGATTCAAGAAAACAAATACCTTACTTTATATAACATCCCAAATAATTAAGCTAAATAAGCTATGTACACGCATTTTTTTATGAGAAGAAACAGTTACAAACGAAAATAATTGTGGGAATGGTCTATGTAAAAAATTATAGCAAGAAAAAGGGTTGCTTGTGTCAGTACCTTTATTTAGTTTACATGTAGTCGTGAAAAGATGGAATAAGATTTGTATTTTTAAAAAAATACAATTTTGTATAATTTAATCTGTGAATTGAATGCTGTGATTACAAATAATACTATTTACTGGAGGATAAATGCATTAATATTGCACAATTATCAATTAACTATGTTAGCATTCATTCTGGCTCATAAGTATGTATTGTTAAACAAAAAAATAGGTATTTGTAAAATAATTTTTCTGAATTTAGAGCAACTGAGGAGCATAGAAATTCTTTTAACTTTCCTTTATACAATAAACTACGATACAAGAAAAACAGCAGCCTAACTTCAAAAATGATGACCTATAAAAAGTAAATCATCAACAGTAATCACAAAAAGGTGACTTGATATCACAAGTATAAAACTTTGGTGCCCATCTTGAATCGTCAACATAGCAAGTAAATCAATCTATTAAATTGATTATAATTTTACAAACAAATAAAATCCTAGCTTTACTTTACCTCTATTATATTTCTAATTTTTTAACGTGAATAACTTATGTATGCTATAATACATTCTAAAACAAAACTGTTTGGTTTCTTTCATATCCAAGTTATACTACTTGTAGATGATGTTACACTAAACATGAAGAAGTTGTATTAATTGTAATTACTAATGCACTTTTGAAAGCCTTGATAATCATAATACAAAGTAAAATGTAAATTAGATGACTGGCAATAGACACAAATGTGCAGGACCAAAGATAAACATCATTAACATAGTTAATTGGAAAATTATGATTGTCTGCTAATTTCTCATTGTTTGTCTCCGTGAAGAAGTTGGCAGCTAAACCCCACACTGATTCCTCTAATACTTCTCTGGTGCATCTTTTGGTTTGTTGTCTACTTGCACATTTATTGTTGACAATCCCTGTGTTTCTTCAGGTCTTGGTTTATTTTGTTTCAGATCCTCCTCTAACTAATGTTGAAATAATATGATGATAACATCCATTATTATTTGCATAAAAAAGCTATATACTTTTTTAAAGTTATCAAACAAAAATATTTTTTTTTAAAGCTGTGTAAATGCTAATAAAATGCAGAGGCCTTCGGTGGTGGGGGGGGGGGGGCTGCTGACCGCACCGGGTGACACCATTTAGGAGGGTGACACCAAGGCAAAAAAATAGCAAAATATATACAGAAAAATGATCTTAATTAAATGATTAATTAGAGTGAATTCAACACGGGTGGAGGGGGTGGGGGTGACATCATGACGCAGTGTTTCTTCCAGACTTTTTTCTCCGGGGGACACTTGAAATTTTCGTGGGGGGGGGGGGGCGGACACTATTAAAAGTATATATTTTCAATATAAATTATATAAATTTCATTTCGTTCGGGGGGAGGGGGGTAGAATTTTTTCGGGGTGTCTAAGCCCCCGAAAAGATGCCTGGAAGAAACCTGCTTATGATAAAGAAAACATGCAACATCCAGCTGAATTTATAACCGAATATAGATACAAATTGTTAGTATTATCTGAGCACAGTTTAAAGCAATCACCGTGGGGGTGGGGAGAGTTACATCAACTCAACGTTGCAATATATGTGCCTGAGGAAAACGGTTTGGTTGAGAATCGTAATAGGCTATATGTTAATCCATGTATGGGGAGGGTGGGGGAATTAAATAAAATACAGAAAAAAAAAATTAGAATACATATGCACATGCGTATATATATATATATATATATATATATATATATATATATATATATATATATATATATATATATATATATCCAGGGGGGTGACACACGATCTCGCTACACCACTGATTATATGAATACATTCCTGGGTACGACAATTATATAACTTTTTTTCATAGGAAGGTATAGTTAAAAGTAATTAATTTATGATAAATTATAACAGAAAATATCTTAAAATCTAAACATTTAAATTAGATTTTGTTATGTATTCAACTGTAGTTTCGGAGATAGAAATTCCACCTTCGTATAAAAAAATGAAAAAAAGAAAAACGATAACATTATAATGTCTAGTGATTTTAGCTTACTTTTGTTAACTAAAATTTGTGATTAAATTGCTTTTAATGTTTTGTTTTCATTTTTATGATGGTTGATCCCAAAGACAATGTCACGGTGTAAGGTCTGCAACTCTCACCCTGTGACGCAGGTGAACTCTACTTCACCAACCCCGGAAGAATTACACACGCATCTCTTTATGGGGAGGCCCCCCCCCCCCCCCGAAGAGATTTTTCTATATAAATTCCATTTCGTTCGGGAGGGGGGGGGGGGGGCAGACTCTCTGATCAGGGTACGAGGTGTACTAGAGAAGCAGTAAGGGGGGAATCTTAAGTATGAGGTGTGGGAAGAATTTCTCCGAACTCCATCCCATTACGAGCTATCTTGCTTGAAAGCATTATTCGAGACAGGTATGTTAGAAATGTATCTTTTGAGCAGCAGCTTTTTTTCCCTTAGTGATATTATGCAATATCCATTTAAGTCAAATTTAATGTCAGATTGCATTGTCTTCAAGTCTTGACCCACGGGAAGACTTTGTATTGGATTTGACGCTTGCCCTTTACGATCCATTACGACTGACAGACAGATGCAGACAGAGGAAGCAGATTAAATATAAATATAAGATGTTATAAAAGTAAAGCAATTGTAATTTTTTTTTTTTATTTTTTATGTAATTTACAGCGTCAGTTGTGTGTTCGCTTTAGTATTACAGTTTTCATCATCGGCTTGTGAGGACTGATACAGATTTACAATAGTAATATTTCTTTCTTACTTGTAGCCTACTTTCATTCATTTAAGATGGTTTACTTATACATAGATCTAATACAAAACGTCTAAATATAAAAAAACACACCTGAAAATGCAAATGTGTAATTAAATGATGATTCAAGGGATTTTTTTTCCTCGTGGGCTGAAGGGGGGGGGGGGGGGGGTGGAATTTGGGGTTTTAAGTAGAGCTGAAATAAATTTGGGATTACAGAGAATTAAAATGATACAAATTTTAAGCAATCGTAAAAGTTATGTTATTACAATGAGACACATCAAAGCAGACATTCTTCCCTTTCAAACATTTATATCTATACAGTCCTCAAACTACGTGCTAGACTTCCTTAAAAAAACTGAAAGAATTATTAAATTCTGTAAATAGCTAGGTTGTATATGCATAATTATTCTTATTCCGCTTAAAAGCTTATGATTATACAGTAATTTTATTTTTATTTCAAACAAAAATCTTGTGAAGCTAGTCAAATAAAAATAAGATACTTTTAATCAGTGTCTTCCTAGTGACCTAAGGTTCTGAAACTGATTTTTAAAACAATTGATGTTTGCATTATTGAATATATATAGAAACAACTGCTTTTTTTCAATGGTCCAGTAGGGTGATAGAGACTTTTGCTTTCTTGTACTGGTCCTGTAGACGCTTTGTCAAATAAAGGTGGTACAATCTGGGGGTAAAAAAAAACAGAATACTTCCAAAATTGGGTCTGTGATAGTGAACAGTCAGTTGTTGAAAGCGCTGCGCTGCGCCCAGACTATCGTGTATCATGTTTCGTGTATCATGTTTCGTGTATCATGTTTCGTGTATCATGTTTCGTGTATCATGTTTCGTGTATCATGTTTCGTGTATCATGTTTCGTGTATCATGTTTCGTGTATCATGTTTCGTGTATCATGTTTCGTGTATCATGTTTCGTGTATCATGTTTCGTGTATCATGTTTCGTGTATCATGTTTCGTGTATCATGTTTCGTGTATCATGTTTCGTGTATCATGTTTCGTGTATCATGTTTCGTGTATCATGTTTCGTGTATCATGTTTCGTGTATCATGTTTCGTGTATCATGTTTCGTGTATCATGTTTCGTGTATCATGTTTCGTGTATCATGTTTCGTGTATCATGTTTCGTGTATCATGTTTCGTGTATCATGTTTCGTGTATCATGTTTCGTGTATCATGTTTCGTGTATCATGTTTCGTGTATCATGTTTCGTGTATCATGTTTCGTGTATCATGTTTCGTGTATCATGTTTCGTGTATCATGTTTCGTGTATCATGTTTCGTGTATCATGTTTCGTGTATCATGTTTCGTGTATCATGTTTCGTGTATCATGTTTCGTGTATCATGTTTCGTGTATCATGTTTCGTGTATCATGTTTCGTGTATCATGTTTCGTGTATCATGTTTCGTGTATCATGTTTCGTGTATCATGTTTCGTGTATCATGTTTCGTGTATCATGTTTCGTGTATCATGTTTCGTGTATCATGTTTCGTGTATCATGTTTCGTGTATCATGTTTCGTGTATCATGTTTCGTGTATCATGTTTCGTGTATCATGTTTCGTGTATCATGTTTCGTGTATCATGTTTCGTGTATCATGTTTCGTGTATCATGTTTCGTGTATCATGTTTCGTGTATCATGTTTCGTGTATCATGTTTCGTGTATCATGTTTCGTGTATCATGTTTCGTGTATCATGTTTCGTGTATCATGTTTCGTGTATCATGTTTCGTGTATCATGTTTCGTGTATCATGTTTCGTGTATCATGTTTCGTGTATCATGTTTCGTGTATCATGTTTCGTGTATCATGTTTCGTGTATCATGTTTCGTGTATCATGTTTCGTGTATCATGTTTCGTGTATCATGTTTCGTGTATCATGTTTCGTGTATCATGTTTCGTGTATCATGTTTCGTGTATCATGTTTCGTGTATCATGTTTCGTGTATCATGTTTCGTGTATCATGTTTCGTGTATCATGTTTCGTGTATCATGTTTCGTGTATCATGTTTCGTGTATCATGTTTCGTGTATCATGTTTCGTGTATCATGTTTCGTGTATCATGTTTCGTGTATCATGTTTCGTGTATCATGTTTCGTGTATCATGTTTCGTGTATCATGTTTCGTGTATCATGTTTCGTGTATCATGTTTCGTGTATCATGTTTCGTGTATCATGTTTCGTGTATCATGTTTCGTGTATCATGTTTCGTGTATCATGTTTCGTGTATCATGTTTCGTGTATCATGTTTCGTGTATCATGTTTCGTGTATCATGTTTCGTGTATCATGTTTCGTGTATCATGTTTCGTGTATCATGTTTCGTGTATCATGTTTCGTGTATCATGTTTCGTGTATCATGTTTCGTGTATCATGTTTCGTGTATCATGTTTCGTGTATCATGTTTCGTGTATCATGTTTCGTGTATCATGTTTCGTGTATCATGTTTCGTGTATCATGTTTCGTGTATCATGTTTCGTGTATCATGTTTCGTGTATCATGTTTCGTGTATCATGTTTCGTGTATCATGTTTCGTGTATCATGTTTCGTGTATCATGTTTCGTGTATCATGTTTCGTGTATCATGTTTCGTGTATCATGTTTCGTGTATCATGTTTCGTGTATCATGTTTCGTGTATCATGTTTCGTGTATCATGTTTCGTGTATCATGTTTCGTGTATCATGTTTCGTGTATCATGTTTCGTGTATCATGTTTCGTGTATCATGTTTCGTGTATCATGTTTCGTGTATCATGTTTCGTGTATCATGTTTCGTGTATCATGTTTCGTGTATCATGTTTCGTGTATCATGTTTCGTGTATCATGTTTCGTGTATCATGTTTCGTGTATCATGTTTCGTGTATCATGTTTCGTGTATCATGTTTCGTGTATCATGTTTCGTGTATCATGTTTCGTGTATCATGTTTCGTGTATCATGTTTCGTGTATCATGTTTCGTGTATCATGTTTCGTGTATCATGTTTCGTGTATCATGTTTCGTGTATCATGTTTCGTGTATCATGTTTCGTGTATCATGTTTCGTGTATCATGTTTCGTGTATCATGTTTCGTGTATCATGTTTCGTGTATCATGTTTCGTGTATCATGTTTCGTGTATCATGTTTCGTGTATCATGTTTCGTGTATCATGTTTCGTGTATCATGTTTCGTGTATCATGTTTCGTGTATCATGTTTCGTGTATCATGTTTCGTGTATCATGTTTCGTGTATCATGTTTCGTGTATCATGTTTCGTGTATCATGTTTCGTGTATCATGTTTCGTGTATCATGTTTCGTGTATCATGTTTCGTGTATCATGTTTCGTGTATCATGTTTCGTGTATCATGTTTCGTGTATCATGTTTCGTGTATCATGTTTCGTGTATCATGTTTCGTGTATCATGTTTCGTGTATCATGTTTCGTGTATCATGTTTCGTGTATCATGTTTCGTGTATCATGTTTCGTGTATCATGTTTCGTGTATCATGTTTCGTGTATCATGTTTCGTGTATCATGTTTCGTGTATCATGTTTCGTGTATCATGTTTCGTGTATCATGTTTCGTGTATCATGTTTCGTGTATCATGTTTCGTGTATCATGTTTCGTGTATCATGTTTCGTGTATCATGTTTCGTGTATCATGTTTCGTGTATCATGTTTCGTGTATCATGTTTCGTGTATCATGTTTCGTGTATCATGTTTCGTGTATCATGTTTCGTGTATCATGTTTCGTGTATCATGTTTCGTGTATCATGTTTCGTGTATCATGTTTCGTGTATCATGTTTCGTGTATCATGTTTCGTGTATCATGTTTCGTGTATCATGTTTCGTGTATCATGTTTCGTGTATCATGTTTCGTGTATCATGTTTCGTGTATCATGTTTCGTGTATCATGTTTCGTGTATCATGTTTCGTGTATCATGTTTCGTGTATCATGTTTCGTGTATCATGTTTCGTGTATCATGTTTCGTGTATCATGTTTCGTGTATCATGTTTCGTGTATCATGTTTCGTGTATCATGTTTCGTGTATCATGTTTCGTGTATCATGTTTCGTGTATCATGTTTCGTGTATCATGTTTCGTGTATCATGTTTCGTGTATCATGTTTCGTGTATCATGTTTCGTGTATCATGTTTCGTGTATCATGTTTCGTGTATCATGTTTCGTGTATCATGTTTCGTGTATCATGTTTCGTGTATCATGTTTCGTGTATCATGTTTCGTGTATCATGTTTCGTGTATCATGTTTCGTGTATCATGTTTCGTGTATCATGTTTCGTGTATCATGTTTCGTGTATCATGTTTCGTGTATCATGTTTCGTGTATCATGTTTCGTGTATCATGTTTCGTGTATCATGTTTCGTGTATCATGTTTCGTGTATCATGTTTCGTGTATCATGTTTCGTGTATCATGTTTCGTGTATCATGTTTCGTGTATCATGTTTCGTGTATCATGTTTCGTGTATCATGTTTCGTGTATCATGTTTCGTGTATCATGTTTCGTGTATCATGTTTCGTGTATCATGTTTCGTGTATCATGTTTCGTGTATCATGTTTCGTGTATCATGTTTCGTGTATCATGTTTCGTGTATCATGTTTCGTGTATCATGTTTCGTGTATCATGTTTCGTGTATCATGTTTCGTGTATCATGTTTCGTGTATCATGTTTCGTGTATCATGTTTCGTGTATCATGTTTCGTGTATCATGTTTCGTGTATCATGTTTCGTGTATCATGTTTCGTGTATCATGTTTCGTGTATCATGTTTCGTGTATCATGTTTCGTGTATCATGTTTCGTGTATCATGTTTCGTGTATCATGTTTCGTGTATCATGTTTCGTGTATCATGTTTCGTGTATCATGTTTCGTGTATCATGTTTCGTGTATCATGTTTCGTGTATCATGTTTCGTGTATCATGTTTCGTGTATCATGTTTCGTGTATCATGTTTCGTGTATCATGTTTCGTGTATCATGTTTCGTGTATCATGTTTCGTGTATCATGTTTCGTGTATCATGTTTCGTGTATCATGTTTCGTGTATCATGTTTCGTGTATCATGTTTCGTGTATCATGTTTCGTGTATCATGTTTCGTGTATCATGTTTCGTGTATCATGTTTCGTGTATCATGTTTCGTGTATCATGTTTCGTGTATCATGTTTCGTGTATCATGTTTCGTGTATCATGTTTCGTGTATCATGTTTCGTGTATCATGTTTCGTGTATCATGTTTCGTGTATCATGTTTCGTGTATCATGTTTCGTGTATCATGTTTCGTGTATCATGTTTCGTGTATCATGTTTCGTGTATCATGTTTCGTGTATCATGTTTCGTGTATCATGTTTCGTGTATCATGTTTCGTGTATCATGTTTCGTGTATCATGTTTCGTGTATCATGTTTCGTGTATCATGTTTCGTGTATCATGTTTCGTGTATCATGTTTCGTGTATCATGTTTCGTGTATCATGTTTCGTGTATCATGTTTCGTGTATCATGTTTCGTGTATCATGTTTCGTGTATCATGTTTCGTGTATCATGTTTCGTGTATCATGTTTCGTGTATCATGTTTCGTGTATCATGTTTCGTGTATCATGTTTCGTGTATCATGTTTCGTGTATCATGTTTCGTGTATCATGTTTCGTGTATCATGTTTCGTGTATCATGTTTCGTGTATCATGTTTCGTGTATCA